TCAACTCCCTCGGCTCATCTCAGCTAGATCAATTCTTAAAAAATATAGCAGCCAACATAACTCTTCTGATCATTTTTTTTCTTTAGTTTTGTTTTTTTGCTTATATTTTTTTTCTGAATCTATTCCTCATGATGTTGTATGTTAAGTATGCACAAACTACACAGAAATTAACTGATAAGTTTTCCATTGGTTATACACAAAAAAAATAATTCATTAAGAGAGAAGAGACAAATAGATAGGGACGAACAGAACGAAAAGAATTTTTCTGCGACGAAGTGTCGTGTGACGAAATGTTCTGGGACGAAGTGATCGTGCGACGAAATGATTGCGACGAAGTGAACGCGACGAAATGTCGTGCGACGATATGTGCGGTCACCACATTTTTTTATCTTTTATCTTCAACGATTCTTGAGAATAATTTGACAGAGTGATAACGCTTAGCGACTTGATGAGAGATAAGTAGATTGTTTTCTCGGTTTTTTTGAAAGATAAAAGTTGTGTGATGAATAAATAACTGAAATAATGGTATCTACCGTTTATTTTTTACCCTTGAGAATCAAAGTCTACCATAGAGATTTTGTCTTTTATAGGGTCTAATGGGAGAAAACAATTCACAAGCGCAACTCGATCAAAAAACATTAATTGGACACAATCTACGTGTGTCTTATCTTTCAAATGAAAAGAGCTTAAACAATCAGACATACGAGTCATTAAATGAGTTAATGACAGATGCTTTTGCTCTTTTTGGGGGCGAGCATTTTCACAAAGACAATACAATCATCACGTACTTCGATGAGAAAAAAGTCGAGAATTTGTTAACAAGCGTACCGAAGATTGGTCAGCACGCCCATCTCCATATCAGATACGTACGTCCTCTTTGAAACTTTAAACCATAATAGAGATGCATTCTTATTCATTTAAGATTCATCCTGTCTGTGTAATGTGTTTGAATCCTTTCGGTGTAATTGACGATCAACTTCTCTATGAGTGTCCTCGTCGTGCTTGTGGCGAACAATATTGCAATAGTTGTGTTCAAGTTATTCGAGGACCCTCATCAAAATGTTCTTTTAAGTGCTTGTCATGCAAAGAAAATGTGGTCCCTGAACGTAATCTATTGATTGAGGAACAATTAATATGGAAAAGCTTTTGCAAACTATATGGGGTTGAAAATTTTTGCTATCTGAAGTCAGACGTAGATTTTTTATCATGCAAACCCATCTTAGATGATATTCAATCTCGTCGCGCTCATATTCTATCACAATACGACACTTTTATGCAAAAGCTCAGTAAAACACAGCCAAACAACCAGTTTTATGATCAATTCAATGAGGACGTGGATCAATTGCTAAATGAATTAACCAAATCTGCCAATGGATTGATGTCCATCAACGAGAAAATGAACGAACGTAATATCACTGTTGACGATTGTTCGAAGCAATACAAAAAAGTACTGCGAGCATTCGATACTGTTTACAACAATTTAGTCGAAGTGATTCGAAGACTTCACAATGAAAATGATTCCATTCTGATAAATACATCTGACAGCTGCATTCAATATGTTCAAATAGCAAACGAACCAATACATTTATCATCGAGCCAAAGTATTCCAGCCATTGATAACATTCTTGAAGATATGAAACTTCGAAAACAATTACTTATACAATCGTTAGAATTGATTGAACCATATTCAGCAAGTCGCACTGAGAATACTTCATCATTACAAAGTGATATCAATCGAGCGAAGCAGTTATTGACTACAATTCAAGAAATGGAAGGCGACTTGATGTTCTTGCGTCGTAGTTTAGAAGCAATAAAAATATCTCTTGATGATTATGATAATTATTTGCGTGATGAAAAATATAAACATATACCATGCTCAAAGTTTATTTCTACACTTGAAATATTACGCGTACTAATCGAACGACTAGAAATGAAGGCAAACTTTCCAAAAGTTGCTGATTTGATGGCACAATGGCAAAATATGGACTATGCTCCGGATACTTTCAAACCAAAAGTATTTGAACTTTTCAAGGCCATAAAAGATGATTTAACTCAAGGGCTTATTCATCAGAACGGTATATATTCAATTCCGTATAGGGTAGGCGTCATTGGCGATACAAGTGTTGGTAAAAGCTCCTTAATTAAGAACCTCGGCAGTATCCAATCTGCATTTCTCCCAATGGTTTCTCTTGACAGGAGCACATTCAGTTACTTACAATTCGATAGCTCGATGCCCATATGTTCCCATATGGATCAGACTCTGCCAATAACATTTATTGATGCTGAAGGGGCGACAGACGCAAATGATACGGAGTCTATAGGAAACTATAGAGAACTAATGATCAGAGCAGACTGTGATCTCTACCTTATTGTATTCGATCGACCATTCAATGAGCAGCATCAACAGTGGAAGAATTTTATTGAACGAGATCTTCGTCGGAAGTGTCTTTTAGTTTGGAACAAAGCTGATGAGCTCTTCTTGAAGTTATTCAAAGAGCAGGCAAGAAGATCATACAACATCAATACTAAGGAATACCTCATTGTTAAGGATGTTCGAAACAGAATCAGACGCTATACTTCTATTGCCTATAATCGAGATGAGCTGATTGACGAAATGTATTTGACCGCAGCGGATTGCGAAGAATCTCTCAGACAAGCAGATTTTGCCGAGTTTGACTTGGAGAAGCTTAAGAAAAAAATACTAAAGACAGCCGTGGAAGACTCACGAGTCGAACGGATGCGTAGGCTGGCCGTTCTATCTTCGACAACAATCATTAACACATGTTTTCGTCGTGATTACATCATTTCCACGACACGCTACCCAATCATGGCAGCAGCTTTCAGTGTTGTACCTGGCCTAGAAGAGGTGCCAAAATATTTTGGACGCAAGGATATTGATCGAGCTTTTGGAATCGATGGAAAGCTAGTTAATCCAGATTCGCCCAATGAGTCAACATTAGAAGAATATTTACTCACGCACAATTTTAGAGTACCCATAGAATACCTGAAATCTGGCTGCTTCGAGTATCTAGTACCTAAAATGGAAACGGGGGCAACTTCAGATGTATTCACAGCCACTGAGACGATAACACCAATGAAATCTACAAAGTTCGGTCTAGTAAATAGCATCACTAGTGATGGCAATTCTAAAACTAGCATTACGGCGCGTGTAACTCAAGGGCTTGCCGCTGTCGGAACGGTTCTAGGTCAGTTTGGCGATGATGCCGCCAGATTTTTGATTCCAGCTACCAATGTCACTGGCAAAGCACTTTCAATCGCATGCGCTACTACAGGATTCGTGTTAATTCCAGTCTTTGCTACTTGGTCATTTTACTCAGCCAAGAAGCATTTGAATAATTATCTCGATATGCTTTGCAATGACTTAGTGTTTGTATTTGCATCTTTTATCAACGCTGTTTGCAGTGATTGTATTCAGAAAACTAATCGGTTTGAACTCTGCACTGATTGCTTCTCCGAAATAGAAGAATTCAAAGGCATCACGTTTTAAGGAAAAAAATAAAGATTTAAAATTTGATTCTTACATTCATTTATCGTGCAAGTTGATGAGTGCAGTGTTGATGTGGGAGTATCAAAAAGTGAATTGAGAAAATTATGCATATAATCATACAATATCACAAGTCAACAATTTCTAGATAATGAACAGTCGGACAGAAAATTCTGGCTTCAGCTTTTAAGTCAGTCATATCAAGATGATGTGATTATAAGCAATTACACAAAAGTATCTACATGCTTCTCTCCCGCTCGCTAGGTTTTTGATAGGCTTCTGTATAAGCTACCGTATGTATCATGATAAATAACAGAGACTGCCACAGGTCATGTCTCCAGCCCTGTGACGGTCTCTATGCCATAGAAAGATATAAAGGCATTATGTAGGATTTCGTGAAGAAAAAAACGGTATTTTCGTGACCAGGGTGTGGGTGTGGGTGGGTGTCAAGGATACCGGGATCCAGATTTCAACCTTGCTTAAGGGTCTTCATCAGTTGGTTTTGACTCTGCTATACTTGTTTTGAATCATTATCGATTTATTCAAAAGAAATCACAAACAAAGTACAATAATCTATTGAGAATTCCAAACAAGCTTCAAAATGAAAATTCAAAAGAAATTCAAAAAGAAATTCAACTGGAAAGTCAAAAGAAAATCAAGAAGAAATTCAAAAAGGAAATCATGATTATCGAAGTCTTTTTGTCCAAGGAGTAGTTTTAATTATTTGAATTAAGATATTTTGTATGGAATGTTGTGGACTCTCTGTGGAGTTCCTTTACCTCATGTAACAAGGTTATGATATTTTAATCTAAATTTTTTTTTGTAGCAAGAGTGAAACTGTGTTGACATGTGAGTTTGGTATTGTTAGAATTTAGTTTGTGATTTAAATTGGGTTAGGATCCGAGATGTACGTCTGTCGATCGTATTCATTGTTTCTTTTTTCTCGTTTCGTGTTTACTTGGATTATGTCGCACTAGTTCTTTGGTTAAGTTTGGATTGTTCCGAGATCCAACGATCAGCTTTGTCGTCATGACCGGTGTTCGATAAAATGATTCGAACCAAGCCTTATGTATGGTAGATTTATAATGAGCATAGCGGTTTTCGTGTGTGTAATGAATAATGATCGGACAATTGAAGGTGGTAATGTTATCACTTTTGTGTAGTTTTGTATGCACTAAAGGATCAACGGATATGTTTTGATGTTTGTTGTCAAGTGTTGTTGCTATTTTTGATGCTCGTGCATGTTCATTCAGTGTCGGTTTCGATAACAGTTTACTTCGTAGTAGGACGTATGTGAGGTTCTTGTTTGGGGATGTGTCAAATGGCTTTAACCTCCGTTTCCTACGAGGGTTAAATTGACGTTTGAGGGGATACTAGTCTGTTCTCTAGGGAGAAACTCACAATAAATATCCTACCGTGACCTGATGATGTTGTGATGAAGATGGTGTTGGTCCGAGATAGGTTCAAAAAAGGGTTTTATTAATAACTATCAACTATCGATATAATATGTTGATAGATTGAGAGGAGCAAAAGAGGAAGATCAGGGATAACAAAGGGGAGCCGAAAAAAGGAGACAAACAACGGGATGTTGAAAGTTAAACAGAAGAAGAGATACTGAAGAGAAAACAAGATCAACTGACCATATATAGAGAAAAAAGGAACGACGCAAAAAGATCATCATGATATTGTGATGAGCGATTTGATATTACGTTCATAGAGTTAGCGTCATAAGGTAACATCTGTTGACGCTAACAATTGTAAAAGTACTAATTTCTGTCCGTTCATAATATTTTCTGTGAGAGTCATCTATAAATAGAGGATCAAGCATCTTGGTAATGATGTTTTACAGTTCTGGTATTGATGAAACTATTTTTGTAAGAAGAAATCGTGTCATATTCTATCGATAGATATGTGACATGATAAACATCTATATTTCTTATATCTCTCTCAAATAAACCGAATGTACGATGTGTTTGACTCCTCTCTTGGAGAAATTTATCAATTCTTTTCCTTCCTCATGTTGGACTTGAAGCTTCACTTTGTTATTGTTTTTGTTTTTGTTCTTTCAATATTTGGCAAGAGCGACTTTTTTTCTTTCTGTATTTGCCAAGAGGGACTTTTTTCTTTCTATTCACAGTAGCGCAGACTACAACTTGATAACAGTTATTGCATTAAAGCATGTACGTTTTGAACAACTTGTTGATTGTATGAGATTCCTCATTTGTTCCATTTTATGAGCAGATAAGAGTGATTATGAATCGTGTTATGGTTCGTAAGTTGAATAGTTTATATATGAACCGGGTCAGTTAGACTGTTTCACAGCATATTTTCATGAAATACCCAAAATTTTGTTTAAATGAATACGTATGAATAAAAAACTAGATGATGCTATGAAAAATATAAAGTAAAAAATTTTTGATTATTTTCATCCGAATTAAAAATCATCTCTATTTGTGTGACTGATAGTGTAAAGGGCTAGATGATGCAATGATATTACTTTCTGAATAAATACTATGACCCTGATGATGACATATGAGAAAGATTAGTCAATAAAAGAGAAGCAAATACACATTCACTCTCTTTATCAAATGTTCTTTTTCTGTGACATCATTTAGTTGAAAATAAATATTATCAAATTTTCTATTCTTTAGCAACGACGCTTTTAGATTGTCAGCAAGACTACAAACGCATCTAACTTGAAATTCCAGTTATTTAAACAGATGACTTTATCCAACTTCAGCTTAGCAAAAACATGTGGAATAATTGGCTACAGCGCTGCTTTATGGGGTATAGGTGTTTTGACAATTCGTCATTGCGGAAGATATTTGTTTCAAACCAATTCAAGTCGAAGCCTTGCGATGGCTTCTACAGTGCCAGGTTGTTACGCGATAATACGTCTTACTCAAGCGTTATTTTCTCTTAATATGCAAGATACAGCTACTGCATTCGTATTGGGTACTGGCGCTGCAAGTATTCTGGATGGCATCACTCACCTTTGGTTTCCAAGCGCCTATGAAGATCCGGAGTTGCAGAAGAAAAATGCACTGGCAGCATGTACCACCTCTAGATATGGATCTGGCTGGTTACTCTTCTTCGTTGGTGTCGGTCTAACAATGGTCGTACTAATGTAATATGTTAATTCATTAAAGGACATCAATATCTTTGACATCTTATTCAATGCGACTTGTCGCTTATTACACATTAATCGTGACCGTAGATGACAGAATTCTCATACTTGATTTATTTTCCATGTAGAACTTTCAGTAGAACATCCAATCACGCTACAAAAACATGAATAAAACTATACTTTTAATCGGAAACAGATCAACCTATTCTTCAACGAAAACACAAATCAATCTGTAAATCTCAAACTTTTGCTTTTGATCCACTTGAGGGTGTGTGGGTGTGGGTGGCTTGCTGGATAGGTGTGGATGTGGCTATTGTGAGAGAGACAGTCATACCCCCACACCCTCATTAGACCAACTTTAATTATTCTGCAAGAAAATATCTGAAGAAAGCTGAAAATTTTTTTATAAAAAACACGCCCTAGAGGGATACGGCATTTTTATAGAAAGTACTTATCCAAAAAGACCTGGAAGGGATACGGCAATTTTTTAGGAAAAATTTTTTTATCGTTTTCTTCTGATATTTTCTTGTAGAATAATTAAGGGTGGTGTAATGATTTGCACATAATAGATTGTATCTGTTGTGATGAAGCTCTTCAAATAATTTCTAAGAAAACTTATAAATGAGTATCAATGGAAAACAATGAATATTTGCAGAAACTGAGGGTGTGGGTGTGAGTGTGATGCTAATCTAAATCGGCATGCACACCCACACCCTTTTATTGGAGTATCTGAATTCAACGTGATGGGAAGGCTCAGTACTTCAAAAATCTTCACTGTGGATTGCTGTCTGATCATTCTATAAGAATAATCATTTTCTTATGCCGCAGTCATTTTTTGTAATAGAGCACGCCAAGTTAAATAATCAATAAGAAAACGATCACTTCGATATTGGTTTTGACAAAATAATGAGGCGGTGCGTGTACGTATTGGTGTATGAGTGTTTATGGGAGGTGTGGTTGCTAATGACTGTAAGTTCGCGGAAGTGTTGCTGTGATGTAGAAAAGACCCACACCCACACCCATCCTCAAGATATACTTTTTCTCAAAGGTTAAAACTGTGACATATAATCTTTACGAATTACAAAGTTTTTTTTCATAATGTTAAAAAAACAAAAAAACATTTTTGAAAACATATTGTTTGTATTAGATACTCATTCGATGTTGGGTGAGAATAAAGAGGCTCTATCAACCTCATATAATCTCACCTCAAGATTGGCTATCACTGTTTGCAGCTTTTAACACACTGGAAGCAGTATAAGACGCAACGGTTTTCACTGCAGCTTCGCCTGTTTTCTCAATTAATTTCGTTGTCGCTGTTCGCGCTGCTCCTTTTGCTGTTTCCTTTGCGACCATTTTTCCGATGCCTCTCATTGCGGTAGAACACGATCCCACCGTCAATACATCAAGTCCCAAACTAATGCTGCCAATTATGAAGTTTGCTGCTGCACTGCCGACGTTTCCATCGGCTACGTCTTCGCATCCTTCAGCTATCGTTTTCACGGAACCCAGCACCGGTACAAAATCCCAAACAGATATTTTTCTATCACGAACAGGTGTAGGTGATACCGTCGGCGTACCTGAGAAAGGCTGTGATCTTGGATGCTCTATTTTTGGAATTATTTCAGACAATTCCCGGAGAAACTCAGCAACGTTCGCTTTGCATCTGTATGACATTTGGACAATCATCGTCTTAATTCTCGCTTTTAATGTTTCTGCTTCTTTGTTCCTACACTGCAAAGAGATTTCTGCAATGTTATACAATACATGTGACAAGTATATTTTTTCGTCGTCGTCATTGTCTTCGTCGCTACTCGAATCGTCATCCATTAGAAACTGAACCATGTACTTAAACTGATCAGGACGGTCAGGATACTTCGGGTTGTTGTAGTAGAGCAACATTTGAAATTTGACTCTTGGGCGGTATTTCTCTGGTATTCCAGTAACCCACAGTTTTATGCACGCTTCGATCAAGCGCCAAATAGAGTAGTTGTCTTTCCATCCACGATTAAGACACTGGTTTTGTGGGAACAGGTTTATGTCTACCATTTTGCCACCTAAAGATGCGGCAACAATATGACCACAGTCATCGTTACCCGAATTTCGTGAATTTCGATTGTCATAAATGCCTCTTCCTTTAATTAAATTACTTAAGCTATCCGAGACATTAGTTACTTCTCCTCTACCGACGTGATGCTCCCATATTTCCGCATATAACCATAGAGGCTTTAGCTTTTTATATCTATTTGAAGGTATGTTCTGTATGAATTCACCGGTTTCTCGAATATCCATCACATTTTGTGCTTTCACGTCTTGTATCGGATCGATGGGTAGATAACCTTCACGCGACACTCGCATCCATGGAATTCCATTAGCGTCAAGTTCATCGTCGAGTCGTCTGCGCACACCAGGGAGTACTGTCGGATAACTGAACTGAGAATCGGAGTCGATTTCTATGGAAAAATTAGCCATTTTCTTGACTAAGTAATCAACGTTAGATAGTCTCTTATTTCTAAAATAAATTATATAATCGAAAAATGTAAAACTAGAATTGATATAGTGCAGAAGTAATACAATTTCTAGTTACACAACAGATACTTTCACTTGCCTATCCTTACCCTCAATTTTCAATTCGAGAGTCGTCAGTTTCCGTTAACGTTTCTCTAAAATGATGTGTTATGTTGGAAATAACCAAGCGATTAATGCAAAGCAACATTAACAACAGCACACGCTGAAGAAGAAGAAAAGAAAATACAATATTCTGATAGTATATGCGAGGATACGCGCTCTACGACGTAATAACGATAGAAACAGAGCAATGAATATTGATATAAAGAATGAAAAGAACGCTTTTTCGCTTCTAACATTTCATGTCCCGTTAGTATGCGCTCTAGCTCTCAACTACTGATACCTACTCTTGTTGATATAAAGCATAGAAAAAAGTTACGAGAAACAAACCAAAAATATCAGTATACGATGATAACAACTAGGGGTGGTCATTTAGTGTTACTTTACTAAATAAAGATAAATGATTCATTTATCTTTAGAAAATAAATGATAAATATTTTTTCAATCATTAAACTTTATTTTCTAAAGATAAATGAATCATTTAGTTTTAGAAAGTAAAGATAAAGAATTAAAATTTAAAATAAAAGAATTATTTAAATTCTAAATGTTTTTTCTTTTTTCAATATTTCGTTCTTGTTTATACGGACATTTACGAGAATTGTTCTTGTTATTGTTGTTGTTTTGCTTCATGTCGATGATGTTGTTTTGGTTTATGTTGATGTTGTTTTTCCACGACCTGTTGTTTCATTATCATTTCCAATTCCA